AAGAAGATAATCCGTGCATATTTTAATCTCAGTATAAATACATTTGTTCTGTGAAGTCCTCCAGTGTTTTATTGGAGAACATTAGTGATTAAAAACATCAAAAAGACAGAGAAACACAGCAGATGAGTCAGCAATAAAGTAATGGAGTGAAGTTTAATAGTTCTGGTCAGATCAAACAGGAACTTTCTAGCCCACTTATGTGGCAGAAAACTATCATGCTGTGTTTAATTAGCAGGAAGATAAACTAGTGCGAGTTCATGGGGGAAATGGATGGAGTTGTGTATTAGGCAACTGTCGTCATTGAAGTTTGGGGTGGTGTGTCAAAAAATGAAGAAAAGGTGAGATGGTATCTATAACCTTACACGGCTCCGGGGGTCAGAGCGGACCCCAGAACAAAGAGACGACTCGACCCCTGATCCATCAGTGAGCAGATGTTTGGAGAAAACCCGAGACCAAATAATTGAGTAATACTTTTTATCCTGTTAAAAAGACATACTTGGATAAAAATGAGACAGTAATTGTGGCAAAATGTAATTAGGAGACAAGAAACGCTCCGTTCTAACAAAAGAAGTAGTAAAAACACTTTCCCCAAATGTGTTTAACCGCTGGCCTCAGTGCTTCATCCTCTCCAAACCCACACACTCTCTTTACGTCCCCCTCAGTGACATCACCCTCATTTGTTTTTGAATACTCTGGTTTTCAAAAATGAAAAAACAAATCAAAACCCTGTGTGGCAGTGATATTATAAAAATACAGCCCCAATAAAAGATTTGTGATGTTTTTGCTCCCAGCAGTGGAGTGAAGCATAAACTCATATGATGGTGTCTGTGAGTTATCATCTCTGTTGCTTAGCCCCTTCCATCTCGTTTTTTATGTAACGTGTCGCGTCCTGAACAAACACAGCCCCCAGTTTAATTAAAATAAATCCACTTTGAGCTGATATTTAGAAACCCGGGAATATCGCAGCCTCTGCAACAGATAAAGTGATTGAGAGCGGGGAATAAAAGGCTGGGCTTCGGGGAGAATTACACTCTACTTCCTTTTCCATCAATGAGGCTTCTATTGTTTATGTTTGAAGTGGGCTTTCTTTCTTTGTAAATGACCTGTCTCCAATTCCCCAATCCCCCCCACACACACACACCTAACCCCCCCTGTTTTATTTGCCTTGAACCTTCAGCACCACTGACACAATAAATTTCTGCTCGGCTCTCTGTTTGCGTTCATGGCCGTGTGCATACGGTAGAATCTGGGACGCCGCGAAGACATCGAGAAGAAACGTTTGCATGCGGCTCGAAAACATATTAAAATATGAAGACAAATCACTATGTCTGGCCAGCTGACAGCAACAGCCTGAAGTGAGAGCCAGCGAGAGTCCTTGCAGCAACGCTGCCGCTCCCAGAAAGGGCCTTTTTCAGGGCAAGCGTCGACATGTAGCTCAACAAACAAACAGATGAAAAAAAGCCATGAGCAGTCAAAGCTATTATTAAAGGTGATAGAAGTGTTTCCGTTTGCCAAAGCCATTTTGTCATGGTCTCAGCCTGCGTACTTTGTAATGGGGAGAGCTGGGTTTTCAAAGATATCTTCAGAGGACATACTCTGGACTTTGTTGTGTGGATGTCTTTGATGTAAATCATAAAAGTAGAAATCCAAGTCTTTAGTTCACATTCCTGCAGGTTTTGAGGCTGTCTATGTATAAAGCAAAGCCATAGCAAGTCAGTACATAGAAAATATTCTTTGGCTATTACCCATAAAAAAATGAAGGGGAGGAAAATAGGACATTTGGGAAACATTTTGGTCCAAATGATAATTTCTCTTCATAGATTATTAATGTAAATTAGACTTAATTTCCAGGAACAGCTCTACAACCTCTGCAGGGTCCCGAAGAATGCATGGAAGTTTACCCAACCAGCCTATATGTGTTTTTCTGGACATGGAGAACCTGGTAGAAGGAGTTCTATGAGTCCGGGGTACCTGACCCTTTGATGTGGGCTACTAGATCCCTGTACAACTGGTGTCAGCGCTTCCCTACAAAAGCACTGACTCTTACCAAGTTGGGCTAGTTTCTAGTGCAATAGTCTTGAGTCCTCCGATTGAGGACCAGGAAGGCGCTCATGTCATCCCCCACAAGATGGTGCTTTTGGCAATTGCCGATGTCACCAATATCATAAACCACCACTGACCAAAACAACAAAATTGCAGATACAAGCTGCAATGAATTTCTCCCGCAGGGTTTCTGGCCTCTCAGAGACAGGGTGATAATCTCGGTCTGCCAGGATGGGCTCAGAGTAGAGTCACTGTTCCTCCACATTGAGAGGAGCCAGTTGAGGTGGTTCAGACATCTGGTTAGAATGTCCACTGGGATGATTCACTAGTGAGGTGATATGGGCACGTCTCACTGAGAGGAGACCCAGAGGAAGACAGAGGACACTTTGGAAGGACTGTGTTTGTCAGCCTGGGAACACCTCATTGTTCCCCCAGAGGAGCTGGCCCAAGTGGCTGGGGAGAGGGGAGTCTGCACCTTCCTGCTAAGACTGTTACCCCCTCGACCCCTTCCGGATAAGTGGATGATGATGGATGGAGATTTAATCCATTCACCTGCCGATTTCAAGTGCTTTCTAAAATGTTTTACTCTCTTAAACTTTGTCACATTGTTTTTCCAGTTTCAATAACAAACTTTAGTGCATCCATTGGGGTTTGTATAAGACAGATTGATACAAAGTAGTGCATTCTTCTCAGAAAAATAGCTCAACCCTAGTTGGAATCCATCTTCCCATCAACTCTTCCTGACCTTGTTTGAAAAGCTCCCCCACGGCATATTACTGCCAACACCAGTGGCTGAACCAAAGACACTACTGGTTGCAGGACACTGACCGTAAAGGACTGAGTCAGTGTCACCTATGGTTTAGCATCATTGTTCTCCTGGAACACTAACCTCCACCAGAGTCTCAAATTTTTTGAAGCCTTAAAGTTTTCTTCTGCGATTTCTGTGTTGAGCTCCTTCCATCCTCCCAATATGTCTGATCAGCTTTTCTGTTCCTTTTCAAATAAAACCTCTTCACAGCATGATGCTGGTGTCATCATAATTCTCAGCAGGGATGGTCTATTCAAAGTATCGTTATCAAAAATACTCAACCTTTAATAGAAACAATAAAAGAAAAATACAAATCCCATTACGCTAGCTGTCCTCTTATAAGATGCTCAGACACTGATGTTTGAGAGCATCTTATAAAGCTCAGCAGAACTTCTGCATCTACAGCAGCAAAGTAATAAACCTCCTGGATGACGTAAGCTATCTCTACACTGCAAAAGTATAAAATCTTACCAAGTTTTTGGGGTCTATTTTCTAGTGCTAATATCTTAATATACAAGAAATAAGTAATAAGTCTAAGCACATTTTCTACAATATATGAGTTTGATTGAAATCAGTAAGTCCTTAATATTGAGTGCTTAAGTACTAGTTCCAGTGGTATATTATTTCACCTGTAACAACATTTTTCCCCATGTTGTCAAAAATATCATTATTTGTCAATTAGACTGATTCCCCCATCTGAGCTTTTGATCTGTGCAGTTCCTCCTGAGTTAGGATGCATCTCTGATTCATATTCTTCTTCTGTAATGTTCTCACCACAATATAAACGTCTATAAAGAAATCCCACTCTCCTAAAGTCAATTTATACTGTGGCCTATACACTTTATCCTGCAAAATCATTTATAAAGCCCTTGAATTAATAAAAGAAAACCAGGTCTTTCAAATGAAGTTCACCCTGAAGCAGACTCCAAGCTTTGTGTTGGTCTGCTACATAAAATCTTAATCCAGCACACTAAAGTTTGTGGTATGTGTCACAATGTAAATAGGCCGGCATGAACACATTTGCAAAACAGCGTATTTCACTCTGTTATTCATCAGATCTGTATTTAGCGACTGAACATACAGCCTCCTCTTACATAAATAGCATAGCTGTTTATTTTATCACTGTTGACTGTGCATATGTCCTCTCGTTTTATGCCTCTTCCAGGGGATGAACAAGAAAACACAGACACTGGGAATTGTTCTGACACATACCAGTAGGGGGAGCTCACAACTCATAGCTCACACTTCAGTAAAGGCTTGCAAGGGATCATCATGTGAAGGGTTGCTGGGCAGTAGTTCACACCACACAACACAACCCCACCCTCCATCTCTAAACATCAACATATTGAGTCCAGATTTTTTTATTTTATTTTTTACATGTTTAGTCTCAATGTTGGAATTCATCCCTGATCCAATGTTGGATTGCAGTGGTTTGAGTTTGAACTCACCGTGTTCAGCTGCATACTACTTAGGAAAGACAAGGAGGGGGGAAAAGAAAGAGACTTTTGAGTTTATTGTTGGTATGCAGAGCTGCATCAGCTCTCCTCCTCTTGCAGGGGGGTTCGGTCAATCAAGCCATTGATTTCTGACAAAGATCATATTTACAATTCTGCATCAGCGTCTGAACACATTAACCCCTCACATGTTGAGCAGCCTCCGATTCCTCAATAAATTTAGTTCTGAGTCCACTGATTGAGAATTGAACACATTCTCACAGAAGAGAGTAGATTTCAATATTCTGAATGATTCCTCCCCCCTCTTGAATTATTTTACCTGTTGACAATAGTGTGATTGTTGAACCTCCAGCACTGTAATGGCACGCTGCTCAGAGCTTGCTTTAGAAGGTAAATCATTCCTCATATGAGTGACCTACTATAAATGCTTTGCAAATATATTTAAAGGTTTGTCCTGCCACTTAGCTCCTTTGAACGGGCGTCTTTTACTCGTGCCACAGCAGGGAAGTTCCCTGCAGACCGCAGTAAAGTGATTGTCCTGTAGAACCACAGGTAAAAAATAGTAATGATGATAGCAATTCATAATAATATTTTGTACTCCACGCCGCTTGTGCTGTTCTTGTGCTGTGCCCCCGCCCTCTCGTACCGGTCCATGTTCGCCCAGCCTCAGTGTGTTGGGATGTGGGAGACCAAGCGCTCCTAGCGGCCGCGCTGCTCACACCGAAACGCTGAGAGACACACAGAGAGAGAGAGAGGATGTTGAACTGTAGTGTGACTGTAAATTTATTGGGACTATATTACCGGCTACGCACATGGGGCTTTTGAAAGCCGGTGTCCTTAAGAATAAAACAACTTTTTGGGGGGCGCGCGTGAAAGTTGAAGGCGGGTTTCCTGGTTGTCCTCGAGCGCAGACATCCTCGCTGAAGATTTGAAAGGCGCTCGAGACGCCTCGGAAGGAAAGCGTAGATGTGCGTGTCAATTTTTTTGCTCTTGTTTTCATTTCTTCGGTCCGGACTTTAATTTCCGAAAAGGCTCCGAAAAGACTCCGGCTCGTCACACGGCAGACACCGCGGATGAAGTCACCGGACAAGCGGGGATAATATTTTCCTCAAAGCGCCGAGAGTTTGGAGGCTGGATGAGCAGCTCCGCGTGAACTCCTGTTAAATGGATCCTCTGTGTGTTTGGACACTGAAACTGGCTTTTGTCAGTGAGTAGGACGGTGTTGGGAGCTGTCCATCACTGCCAGAGCCGGTGGAGCGGACTTGAGCGCAGTCTTCACCTATTTTTTTTTTTATTTATTTATTTTTGCCCCCGCAGTGAATTTAGAGGATTTGCGCGACCGCTGTGGATGTTTTAATATGCAAGGATGGGTCCGCTAGCGTTCATCCTTGTTAGTGGATTACTGTACTTTCAAGCTGATGGTAAGTTCTTAACGTGTTATGTAAAACTTCATCTTCAGTAGATTTGGAAATGCATTCGGCGCTGAGGTGAACAAACCCACTTCACCTGGATGAGTGGTTGTCATAATTTGTTGGGATTAAGCATCTTAATGTGTAAAAGTAACTCGAGCAGGCAGCTCAGTTCAACAAATAGCCTCCCACTGCAGGAGATGATTGCTGTTCTGTTGCTTGCAGTGATTTTGACCCGCTATTCCAGACATAAATGACCCTCCATGTCATGCATTTCCAAGATGAATACGCACCCATAGGTAAAATATAAAAGTAGACTTTTTTTCTTTTTCTTGATTGGCTCCATTCAGTGAAATAATTCATTTTTGTCTTTTTGATGAAATGTAACAAAACTGACAAGCTCCATCATTTAGGTCTATAAACACATCATGTGCAACAGTAAGTGCTTTGATTGACTGCTTTGCGTTCGCTGATATTCAGATAAAGGTTAGGAATATGCTGTGATAGGTATAAATAGGGATAGTCTTATAATTAATTTGAAATTATTATCGCTACATACAGCAAACAACCCATTTTGATTTCTCTTTTCTTTTGTTACAATCTTTAGAGAAAAAAAGCAAACAAAAAACAACAACTCATAAACAATCAAAATTTAAATATTTATGTCAGATTTCTAATAACATCAGGAAATCATTTTAAGGCCACAGTCAGGGATGCATCCATAGAAATACTTTTTGTTTTGTCCCCAAGACTATATGATGCAGTCAGTTTTAGAGCAGACATGTCTCAGTTTGAATAATTTGCAATGGTCTCATGAGAGTGTCTACATGTCTGATAAACATGTTGAGACCACTATGAAATAGTAAAAGACATGCTTAGATTTAGAGTTTAGATATCCTAAATTGATAGTTAGCAATTCTAAACAGATTTAATCTAATCTTTTTGGGTTGCATATTGATTTTTGTTGCACGTCCAGTTTTTAGATGCATTTCTTTGGTCCTTCTGCTGCTGTGAGTTCGAACTCAAGTGTTGAATTACAGCAGAAACTGGCTTGAGCCAAAGATAAACATATGCTGCCAAGAGTCATGTTCATATTTTAAAATTGTTTAATAACGATATGAAAAGCAAATGAGCTGTACGCTGATTAATTATAGTAATTTCAATTCCCTGTTCTGAGCAGCCAGACGGTCACCAAATGCAAAGTAAGCACCCTTACAGTAAGATTTTATGTGCTTTCTTGGGATTCAGTGGCCTACAAAAGAACTAATTTAATGTGGGGGGGAGTTAATGTGGCGACTCACCACAGTCATCAAAGATAGGCCAGTGCAAATAATAAAAATTGAGATATATATACATATACAGACAAGTTTTATCATAGCATGGCATATTGAGACTTATCACATAGTCTGAGCCTTGATTCCAACATGTTGGGTTTGCATTGTTCATACTGCTTAGCTTAGAGGAAAGATTTAGAGTAAATGCAAGAGTCTGCAAGATCCCATTTTGTTCCTTTCTTTCACCTGCCAGCCCCTGCTCTTGTTCTTCACAGCTGCAAGTTTTATCCCTGATCCTTTTTACTTCAGTGTTCGTGCCTTCTGCGTTTTCCAGTCTCCTTTTCTTCTGTTTTTATTTTGCGTTGCATCTTTTCAACCCTCGGCCAAACCCAACTGGTTGCTAGGCAAGGGCTGATGGCATTACATGCTCACCCAAAAGGGAGAAGGGTGCAACATTTCTCCAAAGCAGTGGATCTCCCCAATCATTCGCCTGTTGCCCTCCTTTCTACTCTGCTTTGCTCTCCACCCACATCTAAGTAAAACTCACCCATCACCCAGCTTTTTAAGAGGTAATCTGATGGTCCTTGGAGAGGGGAGGAGCTTCTTCGAAGAGCCCACTTGGGCATACAAAAAGGGGCTGGAGCTGAATTGACTGGAAGCCAAAGCCCAACAAAGCCAGGCCTACTAAATGGCGTCAGTAGCTGTTTAGTGTTCTGTGATTAATACTCCCTGTGAGGAGAAGAGAAAAGTTGATGGTGAGAGAGACTGAAAGGAGAAAAATAGCATTAGTCTTGAATGCTGTAGCTGGGGTGGCTATCTGGTAGAAAGTTATTGTGACTGTAAGCAGCTGCATGGTTATCTGTGCTGGATTCTAACATGCTTTTCAATGTGGACTCCCACTGCTGAGCCTCTGCTATTCATAGATCTCCCACATGCTTGCGCCTGATGTAGGAGGTGGTGACATCACATTCATCTTGGGTGTTGAAAGATGGTACAACTTAAATCTGTCATGGAGAGAAGACCACTTGGGGACGGGCACATCGTGAACGGCACCTGATCTGCAAGCACGGTCCTGGTCTGTCTGTCTGATGCTGAGTCAAGAAAAACTCAAACTGGAGTGTGAGTAGGAGAAAGGAGAAAGGGAAGGCAGGAGGAGGGAGGATGAGAATAATCAAATCTAAAAATTGAGAGAGGAGTTGTTTAACAGTACAATCTTAGGCTGGGAAATGGCAGCAATGATGCTTTATTGCGATAGGACATGGGAGACTAACAGCTCTGTTGATGGTCATGATTAAATGGGAGGCTTAAAGCACTGCTCTATAATGGAAAGTAAACCTAGATTAAAGTAGTCTAGGTGAGTGATGAGGAAGGCTGAGGTCACTGTTAGAGCTGCTGTGATGCTTTGCCCCAAATGTGATTGTTCTGCCTGAGCTGGCAGCATTTAAGCATTGCTATTGTAAATGTGGTTCATTTGTTGAAATGGGACTGCTATAATGACGAACCTTCATCTGAGATCTATGGGACGGTCCTATCTACTGTCTCCCCCTGTCTCATCACTGTCAGTCGAGACGTTTTCCTCAGCCCCCCTACATGCCACCACTGTTTGTTCTCTGATTATCATCAAAAATGAGCTATGAGATTGAGACTCTGTGGCAGTGATTATAACAGGAAGGGAGTTGAGGGGAGAAGTGAGTGCGAACAAGTCCTTGTGTATTCAAATGATCAATGTTGTTTGACTGGTGACGAGGGCTTGTCAACTCCTAAACAGCAAAGGCAGGCTGCTGTTGGGATCATGTTTCAAAAGCCGTCGCTCCACCCATTTAGGCCACAAACAAAACAACTTTTGAGTTTAGCAGACTTCTGTTTGCTCAGATTTGTCTTTGGAAAGTTCTGGCACAACACAAAGACTTCACCTGGAATTAAAATATTTATTGTTGAAGGGAAGGATGACTCAAAACATGCAAGCTAATGGCTGTCAGTCCTAGATATGAATATGTCTAGGACTCCTAAACAACAGTTAAACACCAGTCAATACATTTCGTACAAAGTCCTATTGGGCTATTTTACTGTTTTCTGTATAGACTGCTTTTTATAATTCCAGCTCACACACTCCACAATATTCAGTTAAATGAAGTCCATGTACTTGCTGTTAGCTTGAGAGTTTGATACTATAAGTGGTGTAAGCTATTAGCATAAGATCCAATCACAAAGGCTCTCAATTTGGCGCCTGTTTCTATGTTTGATAATCTTATTTTGTAGCGTAAAAGGAAGCAGATATTTTCATATGCCCTGCGGTGCTCACACTATGCTAATAAAGGTGTGTTGCTAGCTTACAACTCTCTGCTACATTAACACTAAACAAACCACACATTTTTAATCATTTATCTACAGAGCTGTGGTTATTTGATTCAAAAAATGGCTATTGACAAGAAATATATTTTTTGTTAGCACCCTGATAAACCTGTGACTAACCAACCATTGATTGTTAAAGATACTTACGTTAGCATCTAATTACGAATGTTACGAATATTAAAATATTTACAATTAGAAATTGTAGTAATTTCCATTCCATGATTTCAGTCATTTGCCATTAACAATCTAAAATTCTTACACTGATCAGATACATTAAGGCATATTTTAAGATTTATGAAGCCCTTATTCTGTTATTAATTAGATGAAATGATAAAATAAACATTGTCAATGCTTTGTTGGATTTTAAGCCCAACAAAATGTTGTTTTCTCAGAAATAGTTTTGAAATCTTATTCTCACAAACCCAAAATTGTGCATTGTCTTGTCTCCTGAGATTGGTATATAGTTGCTCCCCGAGGCCTCACAGATCATTCACTTTATCCCTCCACAGACCCCATGCGCATAAGAAAATGTCAGCCACAGACAATGCACTTGGTTGGTTTTTCTGTATGCCAGCAGAATGTTTCGAAGGTAATACCGCTAATTTATTGAGCCTCACTCATGCATAGCAGTGACATTTACAGAGCAGAAAGTTACATAATAACTAAACGCATTTGCCTAAAGAAAAGCCAACGATTACTACTGAACCGAATACTGAAAATTGTGTTTACTGGAAATTGGTAGATGGCATGTTTTCTTGTGTGACTTGTACAATCTCAATCTAAAACTTTTTTTAAAGCATTATCTTCTTTATGTGTTCGTATGTTGTCTTTGTGCGAGCGTCTATCAATGAGGGTGGAATTCAAACACTGAGGGATTTGTTGTACACCTGCGCTGCCTGTGCATAACACAAGTGAATGCAAAGGCAAGGGTTGGGGGGAGGAGTAACATGATGAATTGAACGTGCTGACTGTGAAGTAAAGGCAGATTGTAAATGCCTTCACCTGCCTCACACACCTGAACTTCAAGAATACACACCTGTGCTTTTCCCCTTTGGGGCCCAGGGGGCATAGATATAATCCCCTTTCTGTTTCGTCAATGTCTTTGTTTCCAAAACAGCTGATTAAGGGCCAGGCCAACAGAAAATAGTCTTCTAATTACTGTTTTATAATCCTTTATGAGATGATGATAAAAGAAGCTTGTGAGTACTCTACTTATTCAGACTCTTAGTTGGTTGGATAACTCCATCATATGGATGTGAAGAGCAATCTTATCTATGCAAACTGAAGAATAGCAACAGCAGGAAGTCAGATAAAAAAAAGGGTTAACATGTTTGACCTATCTGTGTTTTTATGTTGCATGCTCCTCTGAAATGTTGTCTTAGGAAG